GAATAGTTTTCTAAATTATCCACAAGCCCTCGTTTGTGCTTTAAAAGATTCAATTGAATTAAATATAATCAGGGCAAGAGGACAGACACTAGACATTTCATCATCAAGGTTATTTTAAAGGGGAATTTCTTGACTTATATTTGCAAACCTACTCTATTGATTTTACACTTCTATAATTATTTCCTTAATAAACAAATACTATCTTCCATAGTTTTTTTATTGTGAAGAACCCATGCGAATTACACAGGAAACAGAGGGCACGAGCAACTTGAAAACAACATATGCACAAAGCTCTTAAATGCACATTTGAGTACACAGATGGAAAATGTAACAATTTGGGTGCCACTGTGACCTGAACAAGAGTCCACACTTCCAGGGATGAAACAAATTGAGACAATAACATAGAGAAACAATAATGTAACATCAAGAAAATCAAGTGACACGATGAGCACAGAAGGGCATGTCTTGGGTCCTTGTTTGCTGCCCTACCCAGCTGCCAGTGAGGTTGGTGTGTACTTCAGCAGGACATTTTCCTGTTGTGGGAATGCTGAGCACTAACTCTGGTTAGCTTTGAAGGGTGCCAAAGTGCTGTTCTGTTTTTGAAGTATTTCTCTACTCCCCTGTGATAGCCCAAGGGCTGCCTTCATGCAGACATTGCTGTGTGTGCTAACTCCCACCAAACTCACCCTACCTGGCTTTGCAATCTTTTTACATAGGATTTATCCTGCACAGTCAATAATGTTGTCAGTTTTAATGCTTCAGATCAACTTTGCAAACCAGCTACAGGGCAAGCAGAGCTTGTTTTGTTTAACCCAGTTCCTTCAGAGCCTGGAGTCAAAAAATGATACTATGCCCCAGCAAACATTTGTGTTGTTTAAAAGGCCGTAGTTTCTGAATGTAGATTAAGTCCTTAATGGCATTTTCACATGAGAATGACTGTGGGGTTTTTAATCTTGTAACAATATTAACGCTCAACTAAAAAGAAGCAATTTTTAAAATCTCTATCTACAACACAGTGAATACAACCAAACCAACCAGATGATGATACTCTGATCATTCAAGCATCTTTTTTCCATTAAAGCTGTTACGTGTTCTACTTAATGGGTTTTAGGAATTGCTACTGAGCTCAACTCAACTATTTATAAAGTCATTTAGACTTATGTTACTGTACTATTCAGCAACTCTTAGTCTAGGTAATATGTGTCTCTGCCACATCGTTTTCTTCAGGACACCAGCAGGCAACAGATGTGTGCATTGCACAAATTTAAGATTTTTTTGGTAATGCTGATGCCACTTGATTATTTGTAAGATTTATCTGAAACTACCAACTTAGGAAGTGACTTTACAGAATGCATAGCATATATTTATGAACACTAGACTTCAAATGTGTTTTAAAACTGCTAGTAGGTCTCCTTTTTACTCCTCTTTTAACAAAATATACACATTCCAATGCCTGTCTATGAAGTCAACTAGGAATGTGATACAAACACAGTAAGTTCTTTACATAAACTTTGTCATATACATGAAATTATAACTGTGAAAAAGAACAACATTCCTAACTGGAAGATAGTATTAACTTCTATAGTTCAATGCTCACCATTTTTCTAAAAGAGACCTCTGAAAATGACTTTATTAGAGAAAGTTCCATTCCCATGCCTAAAGCCTGTTTTGATAAAAAGCCTTCTGGTAACATTGAGTTCTAACAAATGGTACTAAATTTTAAGCATGTTTTATTCAGAGATAGTTTGCCCCCCAGACTACCATAAGCACTTTATTAACTTCAAGAATGACATGATTACCTCAAGCCCCTAAAACTCCTGCCAGGTAACTGCAGTTATCAGTGCACCGAGGAGGACAACTAATGACAGAGATATGAATTAAGTGGTTCAATCAAGATTTATTCTTCCAATAAAAAAATAACTTCAGGTGAAATACAATTTGGTCTACAGAGCAGGTGTAATGAAATCTTTGCTATGAAGCTGAAAATATGGGTTATAAACTCTCATCTGAAACCGACCAGCGGAGGTGAGTTATTACATCCTCAGCCAAAGGCAGGTGCTGGGGTGCAAGAGGGGAGCAACGCTGGGAGCCTGTGCTGTCCTGGGATCTCTGCAGGAATGATGGCAAGTATTTACAATACTGAGGATGTAGAGAGTATTTCTGTTACCTATTTTAAGCATTTAACTGCAGCTGTGATTAAGCCACCCTATCACGGCACTGCTCAGGAACAGCTGTGCTAGAATAGGTATCAACATCATTCCTTCAGCAGATGGCACTGAAAATAATCGGGGGTACTGAAAATAACTGGAGGACAAGTTTGTTGTTGGAATTTTAAAAGCCATTTTCTGTCAGATCAACCTGCAGCCAAAGGAAGGAGCACTACAACATTAACTGTTAAGTGTGTAAGACTGCATTGCAGTGGGAAAAGGGTGTGCCAAATTCCATCATCTGGCAGCACTGAGGGATCAGTTGGGAGCTGTGCAGGGGAAGAGGTTAATGGGGAGCCAGGTGTCACCTCCCTGCTCTGGGCAGGTGACTCCACAGTCCTCACCTGTGCTGGCTGCTGGACCTTTATGGGTTTTCAGTGTGAGGAGATCCTCCAATGGAACTGTAAACCTGCCGATCTACAGTGCTGACCAACCTACTCGCAATTTCTTAAAGACCAAAAATACACCTGGTAACCATGAAAGGGCTGTTGTGGCATGGAAATCCTGTATTTGGCTTCAAGGTAACACTGTTTTAGCAGCAACTTCAGCCTGAAGGCCCTCAGAAAACCCTGAAATGAAATACTACATGAAATCCATGTCACTGAAGAGTGCAGACATGGAAGAACCAGGCTGTTGGAAGGATATAGAAGACACAGTCAGTGAATGTGAGTACCTGATGGACAGCACCCTGAAGAACTTTTAAGTTCTCTGTGCTCTCACCAGCCTCACCTATGGCTTGTGGGCACCCCTCTCTGCCAAGACTAGGGGTTATGATACCAGCTACTCTTGTGAAGTGCCTTGGGCAAAAAATAACCTCTACAGTACAAGGCAATGAGCATACAAAGGATGGGAGATGCTTGTATGAACCCACTCCTTGAGAACTTAGAGAGCACATGCAGTGGGAGGGCAGGCACAGAGGACACAGCTTGGGGGGCCACAAGGACAGGACAGGAGCCTGAAATAAGCCACAACGTGGGCACAGCATTATGAGAATGTGGTGCATGAAAACAAAAGTTTAAAACGCTGGCATAGGAAACTGAATAATGAAAACGATTCAAATGAATTTTTTATTTCATATGTAATAACGAAAACATTCCATACGCAAATTACCAATATAATGAAGGGATGTATTGCAATGAAAAAAAAAAACAAAACTGAAAAAAGTGGAATGAATATGTCACTTTTTGGGGAAGCTTTAATACCTCGCATATAGATAAAACGATATTTTCAAGTTTCTAAACTACTTAAAAGAAGAAAGTAGATGACAGCGGCAACCACGAATGACTGCTCTGGCACGCCACAGGTCGCTAAGGAAGGGGCACGGGGAGGGGACCGAGGGGGCTACGCGAGGTTAGCACAGCGGAGCTCGCTGCGCGCGGCCCGGCCCCCCGAGCGGCACCGGGGGACGGGGACGCGGAGGGGCGGCGGCGAGGAGCGGCCTCTTACCCTCGGGCGGCGCGGCGCCGGGCTCCTGCCTGCCGCCGGCCCGGGGCAGGAAGGCCCGGGGCAGGAGCAGGGAGAGGCAGAGCACCAGGCAGGACACCGCGGCCACCCGGCAGCACCTCCCGGCCGCCATGGCGGAGCTCCGCGCAGGCGCGCGCAGGCGCGGGGCGGGGAGGCGTGGGACAGGGCGCTGGAATCCTGTGGGGATTGATGGGAATGGG